ATTTAGATAGGATGTCCCATCGTTATAAGTTCCTGCTACTGGTTCAATTTCAGTTCACCAGTTCGCTCGAGTTCAGATCCTCTCGAAAGGAAGAAGAAAGAAAACCCACAAAGAGAAGTGGTTTTATCGGCCGAACCCTAAGGTGAGCTGATGAAATGCTATGATTGAAGTGTATACAAGGCTCGAGTGTGTGTATTTGAGTGGACCACTAAGGGTGGCAATTCGGTAATTAAGTCCAACTCTTTAATTAGCTTATTTAATCTAATTTAATCATACCTAATCAATTTTCAGATAATTGTACTATAAAATCACATAAATTACGAGAGTCGTAGAACACTAATCGGTTTCGGATTAGGCCGCCGATAAGGCCTTCAATTAGCAGTTTAAACACTAAAATACGAACAGATCAAATAAACAATCAACAGATAGAATGCAGTTCAAACAGATGTATTCATTCAATTCAGTTTCAATTTCGGTCAGTCAGTTCAGTACTTTAGTCAGTTCAATTATCAGTCATTATCAGTAAACAGTATGAGGGTTGTTACACATTCCCTCCTCTGGGCAGATCTAATCACGTCCAAACTCCCCAGCAGAGCATCGTCAACCGATGTCAGCTGCAGATTTGCTACATCGAGCAGTCATTAATCAGTAAACAGTATGGGGGTTGTTACAGTCCCAGAAAATGAGTTCATGCCACGCTTGCCTGATACTGCTGTGGTTAAACTGCAGGATTCAACAGATTTCAAGCATCCCAAGCAATTGTTCATTCAACAGGTTTCAATAGATTTCATCACAAGCAACCAACTGTGGTTAACTGTTCTGGCATCCCAAGCAACCAACTGTTCATTCAACAGATTTCACACATTGTCCCATTAATCAATACACACTGTTCATTCAACATATTTCACTCAACAGATTTCATGAGAAATGCCCATGTTCATTCAACAAATTTCATGTCAAGTTCAATCTGTTATACACCTTCAACCTGTTCAACATGTTCATTCAATACATTGTTAATCAATACACCTGAGTCATTTGCAAACCATCACATACAATACACATTGTTAAGCAACCAACTGTTCATTCAACAGATTTCACACATTGTCCCATTAATCAATACACACTGTTCATTCAACAGATTTCACTCAGCAGATTTCATGAGAAATGCCCCTGTTCATTCAACAAATTTCATGTCAAGTTCAACCTGTTATACACCTTCAACCTATTCAACATGTTCATTCGATACATTGTTAATCAATACACCTGAGTCATTTGCAAACCATCACATATGATACACACTGTTAAGCAACCAACTGTTCATTCAACAGATTTCACACATTGTCCCATTAATCAATACACACTGTTCATTCAACAGATTTCACTCAGCAGATTTCATGAGAAATGCCCCTGTTCATTCAACAAATTTCATGTCAAGTTCAACCTGTTATACACCTTCAACCTATTCAACATGTTCATTCAATACATTGTTAATCAATACACCTGAGTCATTTGCAAACCATCACATATGATACACACTGTTAAGCAACCAACTGTTCATTCAACAGATTTCACACATTGTCCCATTAATCAATACACACTGTTCATTCAACAGATTTCACTCAGCAGATTTCATGAGAAATGCCCCTGTTCATTCAACAAATTTCATGTCAAGTTCAACCTGTTATACACCTTCAACCTATTCAACATGTTCATTCAATACATTGTTAATCAATACACCTGAGTCATTTGCAAACCATCACATATGATACACACTGTTAAGCAACCAACTGTTCATTCAACAGATTTCACACATTGTCCCATTAATCAATACACACTGTTCATTCAACAGATTTCACTCAGCAGATTTCATGAGAAATGCCCCTGTTCATTCAACAAATTTCATGTCAAGTTCAACCTGTTATACACCTTCAACCTATTCAACATGTTCATTCAATACATTGTTAATCAATACACCTGAGTCATTTGCAAACCATCACATATGATACACACTGTTAAGCAACCAACTGTTCATTCAACAGATTTCACACATTGTCCCATTAATCAATACACACTGTTCATTCAACAGATTTCACTCAGCAGATTTCATGAGAAATGCCCCTGTTCATTCAACAAATTTCATGTCAAGTTCAACCTGTTATACACCTTCAACCTATTCAACATGTTCATTCAATACATTGTTAATCAATACACCTGAGTCATTTGCAAACCATCACATATGATACACACTGTTAAGCAACCAACTGTTCATTCAACAAATTTCACACATTGTCCCATTAATCAATACACACTGTTCATTCAACAGATTTCACTCAGCAGATTTCATGAGAAATGCCCCTGTTCATTCAACAAATTTCATGTCAAGTTCAACCTGTTATACACCTTCAACCTATTCAACATGTTCATTCAATACATTGTTAATCAATACACCTGAGTCATTTGCAAACCATCACATATGATACACACTGTTAAGCAACCAACTGTTCATTCAACAAATTTCACACATTGTCCCATTAATCAATACACACTGTTCATTCAACAGATTTCACTCAGCAGATTTCATGAGAAATGCCCCTGTTCATTCAACAAATTTCATGTCAAGTTCAACCTGTTATACACCTTCAACCTATTCAACATGTTCATTCAATACATTGTTAATCAATACACCTGAGTCATTTGCAAACCAACATTTGATCAATTTTTCACATAACATTTCATGAAGATTAAAAATTAATTCAAGATTAACCAAGAATCCTATTCATTCAAAAATGACCTATTCATTCAACAGATTTCAGGAACATTTGATCAATTTTTCACATAACATTTCATGAAGACTAAAAATTAATTCAAGATTAACCTGTAATTATACAAGATTAACATTGCAATGCATTCATACTCATGACAGATGTGTATTTCAAATTCAAGATTAACCTGTAATTATACAAGATTAACATTGCAATTTGTTTAACATTGCAATGATCAATTTTTTTTTAATATTTAACAAGAATCAGATTAAATTAGTTACAATTACAAGCTAAGTTATGAGATTTATATATACACAGATCTGTTAATCCTGGAAATTTGAATTAACAGAGATTAAATAGGTATATACAAGTAAGACAATTGAAAATCAAGAGAATGAAAATGAAGGAAACAAATTGAAATTTTAATGATTAATTTAACATTGCAAAGATCAATTTTTTTAATTATACAGATTCTTGTTAAACAAATTCATCCAGGACAACCTTGAAGCAATGTATGAATGCATTCAAGATTAACATTGCATGACCAAACTCATGACAGATGTGTATTTCAAGCAAAACCCTAACCCTAATCCTAACCTTAACCCTAATTGCAGCAAAATCCCAAACCTTAACACATCACAAATTAAAGCCAAATCCCAAACCCTAACACAAATTGCAAGCAAAATCCAACCCCAAACACTCCCAATGGACTAATTTTGCGATTTCAGGTTTACCCTAACTGAAACCCTAACTTTGCGATTTCAGGTTTACCTCAGATTCGTTATCGTTCGTCCTCTATCGTGGTTCGTCCTCCTCCGTCGTCGTTCGTCCATCGTCTCGTCGTCCTTCGTCCACCGTCTCGTCCTCCTTCGTCCCCCGTTTCGTCGTCCTTCGTACTCCTTCAAGAGACAAGTTAGATAGTCCACAGTGGAGAGATAGAGGGGAGAGAGAAGCGAGAGTGAATGAGAGAGACAAGGCGAGAGAGTGAGGTGAGAGTGAATGAGAGGGATGAGGCGAGAGATGTGAGAGAGATGAGGCGAGAGTGAGAGAGATGTGGTATAGTTGAGAGGGACGAGATTGAGAGGAGAGAGAAATTTATCCTTTCGAGCCATTCGGGCCCCAAATATTCGAGCTACGGCTCATTTTCCAAAAATAAAATATTACATGTATATTTTCATTAAATTTAATGGTAAAGTTGGGCCCGTGTGGGCCTATCACGGGTCTCATTTTTCTAATCGGAACCATCAATGTGTAGAACTCGTCGAGTACTATATGTTTGTAAAAAATCATGTCTATCGGATATCGCTAACTATATGATCAAATCAGTTTTGTATAAAAAAATGGATGGTGTTATAGTTAAAATGTGACCAAAAAAACTAACATGATCAGATAGTTATCGATATCCAATGAACGTAATTTTTTAAAAAAATATAATACTCGACGAGTTCTACACATTAAACGGTTCTGATTAGAAAAACAAGACCTGTGGCGGGCCCCCATGGCCGAACAACACCGTTCAATCAAAGGCCGAAAAGTAGGCAATCTTTTCCCATATCCTTTTCAACCGAGGCACTGCCCAACGGTACGGATTCATTAATTATATTCTCTTACACACTTATTTATATAATATTTTAATACACATTTTTTTCATAAAAAGTTAAAAAGTTAACCCAAATATTTATATTTTTTTTCTTAACTTTTTAGTCTAAAAAGATAAAAAATGCACTAATTTATGACGCCCTAAACAACCCCTAAGTTGTGTTAGGTTAAATGAATAAATTTTGGCTAAATTATTATGGGTATGGCTTCTGTTCAGTCCGAGATCGGATTAGACCGTGCTGTTGGGTCCGTGGGGGCCTATCACGGGTCCCGTTTTGATAATCTGAACCGTTTAATGTGTAGAACTCGTCGAGTACTATTTATTTATAAAAAATTATGTTGATCGAATATCAATAACTATATGATCAAATCAGTTTCGTATTAAAAAAATTGGACGGTAAACAAATTAACGGTTGATAAAAAACTATTTTGATCACATAGCTATCGATATCTGATCAACGTGATTTTTTACAGGCATATAGTACTCAACGATTTCTACACATTAACGGTTCAGATTATCAAAACGACACCTGTGGTGGGCCTTCACAGGCCCAACCGCACGGACAGAAGCCATACCCAATTATTATTATTATTATTATTTTTTAGATAGGATGTCCCATCGTTATAAGTTCATGCTACTGGTTCAATTTCAGTTCACCAGTTCGCTCTGCACACCAAAAAAAGCTTTCAAATCAATCTCCGATCTCTTTTTTTCTCTCTCTAGCTTCGCTTCTTTATTCCACCACTTTCTATCTCTAGATTCGGTGTATTTATCGCGGACTCACTCGAATTCAATACGCAATCGATTATATTGTTCGATTTTGCTCTCTCGGATGTGCGTCAAGAAATGAAGATTGAATCTTGGAGTGTTCGTGGAGTGTTCTAGAGTTTCGCAACAACAGTCCGCCTTCAATGGCGATTCGAGGCGTAGATTTCAAGTGGTGAGTTCCAATCTTTCTTTAAATTGAATTGAATGATTTTTATCGAATGGGTTTCGATTTCAATTCTTTCAGGTACGATGGGTTTTTCTTGTCAATGCTTGCCACAAGTATGTATCCTTTGAAATCCAATCTGTTGTTGAATAGTAATGTTTGAAAGGATTGATTTTGTAGTTGTGAGCACACTTTCTTGAAAATTTTCTTTTTTGCTGTCTGGTTCTTTGTTTGTAGTATTTGTGTTGATTCTTTAACGATTTTGACTATTAGAATCATTGTTGCGATCAATTGGAAGCGGTACCATTCTTGTACACATCCTTTGCACACATGGATTGTGGTGGGTATAATCAATCTCTTAGTTATGGATCTAGTTGGTCTTATTTCTGATGCTATTTTGTTGAATTACTGGTCTAATTAATGCCTTGATTTTTCATGGGTTAGGTTGACTACACTGTTGTGTTTGTTTTTCGGCTCTTGATGTTCGTAGATAATGGGCTTGCTGCTGGTATGGGATTGTAAGGCCCCCAATCTTGGACTCTTGAGGTTATTACTATTTTTGAAATGAAGATCATATCTGTGACATAAAATTTTAAGTCTAATGATTTTCCTGATGCAAACTCATTAACAAAAAAAGAAAAAAAAATTCCATGTGCAAAAAGCTTGTTGCCTTGATATTGCACAATGCCATTGTCATATCAGTCAAATGCCAGGCAGTTTATATGAATTCTTAGTAACACAGACTAAGTAAACTTGTTTCTGTCCATTTGCCCAGCGGTCTTGTTTGTGAAATCTTCTAAGGTCAATTTCAATCAATTTTAGGGATTTCGGATGGCAGCAAAGATATGCACGTTTTTGTGGAAGATTAGTGGTTCTTTCAATTCTCTCTGTGCTGCTCTATCCATTTTTGTGGGCGTGGACTATTATTGGTACCCTGTGGTTCACTAGAGCAAGAAATTGTGTAAGTCTTGCTTTTGTTTTTCCCTTATAATCCTATTTGTGGGAAATATTGTGTTTAAAATGTGGTATGCTTTTAAATCTTGCAGTTGCCTGAAGAAGGTCAGAAATGGGGTTTCTTTATTTGCTTGCTTTTTAGCTACTGTGGACTCCTTTGTATTGCCTGCATGTCTATAAGAGGGGTTAGTTATACTTTCTGCACTTCAATACTCTCTGAAAGCTTTTTAATGGCTCTAAAGTACCCTGTTCTCCAAAGACTCAAGTGAAACCTCTTTTTCAAGTTCTTTATCCTTAATATCGTATGCTTTGTTTTGGCATGTTCACCCACTGCATATTTCCAATAATGATGTTACCACAAAACATGCAATTTGGACTTTATTGCGGGCCTCTCTTTTGCAGTGGTTAAAACGGAGACGAGCACACTTACTACGGGCTCAGCAGGGGATTCCTGTTTCAGAATATGGGGTAAGTTCTATTGATATCATTATTGAGTTTGCTATTGACTAAGAATAAGGTAGTTAGAGGATAATATTGAAAGGAAAAGAGTGTCTTTTTGAGTCATGTAAGTATTGTAGTAAGGACGATCTTTAAATTTTGAGCAAGAGAGAAAAGGAAAGTTGAACTTCTCGTATACATTTTGAGTCTTGAACTAATATATTGGAGCTACTTCATGTCGGAAGTGAAATTGCTTAGAAGTTTTAGAGAAGGTGTATCTTTTATGGACACTATTATGTGTCTTCCTCGAGTTTTAACCAAAACAAAGAGTCCCAAAAATTTGGGAAGTCATCATAGCGAAACATTTGCATTTCATAAAAAATGCCTAGTTTTTGTATTTTGGCATACTGCATACATAAAGACCAATACAAATGCAATGTTTTTTGCCTTTTTTTCAATGTAACGTGTACTAGAAGTCCATATTATTATGTTATGTTTGTGAGTTTCATTTATTTCATATTTTGTAATGTCTTTTGTGATGTTATGGCCTACCATGTTTGAGGTAGCTCAATCTAGTTGATTATCTAATTTTTAATCCCATACTTGGAGTAAGCTTTCTATAATTACGTAATTTTCCTACTTAGAAATGATTGTTCAAGAGGTTTAAGCAAATTTTGTTCCTCAGATCATATACCATAAAGCATATTTCGCCTCTTTTCAGGTGTTGGTTGACATGATTCAGGTACCGGATTGGGCATTTGAAGCTGCTGGCCAAGAAATGAGAGGCATGGGCCAAGAGGCAGCATACCAGCCCGGACTATACTTGACAGCAGCTCAGGTATCAATTAAGTAATTACTGTAGCTAGAACTGATTCACATACAATTTTCAGTGAATTGTCTCTCTCAGTATGTGACCTGTAAGAAGGCACCCAAATAATAGTAGTAACTTTAGGTGGACTTGGGGCTTGTCACAATGTGGTGCTGTCTTTATTACCATTGAAAGGTTTATTAGTTGCTATTCTCTCTCTGTTACCCTGCCTTTTCTATTGAAAGCCCTTATGCAGATTCCAATGTTACTGGAATGCATGCAGAGAGAAGCAGTGGAGGCACTGATTCAGGAACTTCCAAAGTTCAGGCTCAAGGCTGTTCCCACTGATTGCAGCGAATGTCCCATCTGTCTAGAAGAGTTCCATGTGGGAAATGAGGTGAATATATTGTTGGTCCAATACATAATCTTTGAATAACCTCCGTTTTGTAACTCGTCAATTCCATATTCCAATTGTTTTTGTGTGTATATATTGCCATTTCCCGTAATGAACTTGCCTAAGTTCGGAAAACCTTAGATTCGTATTTATAGATTTTTAGCCATATCAAGTACCATCCTGGCTGTGCTTCTCCTTTTCCTTTCAGATTGATAATAATAGGAAGTTGAAGCCAAAATGCAAGTTGATTTGACAGGGGCAGAGGGCATCCCCTTAGAATTCCCCATACTCAACAATACATATATCAAGGCTCTGTTTGGCAGCAATACATACATCAAGTTCAATATTTTTTACTTTTCTGACCTGTCTAATCTAGTAAAATCTGAAAGTAAGAAATTTTTTTGAATTTTTTATTATAAAAAAGTTAACTAAAACATAAAATCAACAAAAGATGCTAAAAAATCAATTGCCAAACCCACTCTAAAATACCTTTTGGTTGCTCTATCTAGGGAAGTTAAGCTAAGTTTCTTATTAAACATGGTGCAGGTTCGTGGCCTTCCTTGTGCACACAATTTCCACGTGGAATGCATTGACGAATGGCTTCGTCTGAATGTGAAATGCCCCAGGTGCCGTTGTTCCGTCTTTCCAAACCTTGATCTCAGCGCACTATCCAATATCCGGCCTGATTCTGAACGGTCATCATCTTCCAGTGTCGTGACAACAACCCGTTATGCGAGAACCCCTCAACCTCCTAGCCAGAGTTACCTATTGAGATTGCAAGGTTTGTTACGACCAGTTCATACAGAAACTGCAGGGCTGGGCCATGATGCAGACGTTGCGTTGGAAACCGCTGAGAACAGAGGTATGTCAGTTGCAATTCGGGACCCCACAAATGTTGATGCGGGATACCCTGTTGTTGAACACATAGTAGTTGTGCAGTCAAACCCTCCTCAACACTAGTCTCTTTTTTGGACTCTTTTGTGATTAAACCGGTATTAACCGCTGAGAACAGAGGTATTTCTGTTGCAATTCGGGACCCCACAAACATGGAGGAGGGATACCCTGTTGTTGAACACATAGTAGTTGTGAAGTCAAACCCTCCTCAGCACTAGTCTTTTTCTCAGACTCTTTTGTGATTAAACCGGTGTTACTTCTTAGTCTAACCACACGTGAAATGGAAGTGTGTCCATTGAATAGTTATGTTAACATGATTTTTTTGATCTGAAACCCCTGTAATTGAATGTTTCCTTTGGTATGTTTTCTCCTACTGTTTTTACGTCGTTATGTTTCTAGCAAGGATATGAAACAATAAGCCAGTGCTTACCAGAGGATGTGAATGAAAACAACTTTAGGCAGATCTAACTGAAATCTTTCTTGTTTGTAAGGCTATGTTTGGAATCAACAACTAAGAATGAGAATGTTATTACTATCAATGTAATTTGTTTGGTTTGTTTAGGAATTCTCTATAGGAATATGATATAATTTAATTTTGTGTGTCTTTTTTATTTTTATTAAATTAGCTACATTTTTCATGGGAGAATGTGGGAATAGGATCCCACTATGATAATCTCATTTTGTCTGCGAATCCAAATTAGAATTACATTTATAGTTTTGAACGGGCTCAAAAAGTGGAATGAAAGAGACTTGGAATGAGATTTTCATTTAGATACTTCATTTATGCCATCCAAACACGACCTAATGCAAAGGAATGGCATCATCTTGGGATCTCTTGGTTATTTTAATGTTTTGTTTGCATATAAATGAAGTATAATTTGTTTCTCTTCCTTCTCAAATTTTTACATACATGCATTAGTGATAGAGTTCGTTTGCATAGTTTATACCAAAAAAGTAGTTGTAAAGTGTCATGTAGTGCAAGAAGTCTGAAAGTGGAGCAAGATCTTCTTCTTGGATCCTCTCTTTAGCTTCCTACTTGATAGGTTATTGGGCTTATTTTTGAGTTTAATTTTGATAATTTGAACTATTCACATTTTAGAATTTGTCATGTATACCATACTTGTAAAAAATCAAGTTGATCGGATATTAGAAAAATTAAAAATCATTTATTAAAAAAAATTTAATGAACAGCTTTATTGTTTAATAAAACTTTTACTTCACGTGATTTTCGATATGCGATCAATTTAATTTTTTATAAGTATGATATACAGGAGCCAAGGAGACGAGAGGATCTTACTCGTAAAAGTGTGGTGGTAAAGGGAGCAACTTGGCTCTAGTTTGAGATTGGATTAAACGGTGTTGTTTGGTCTATGGGGGTTCACCATGAGTCTTGTTTTGATAATTCGAACCGTTTAATATGTAGAACTTGTTGAGTATTATATGCTTGTAAAAAATTACGTTGATCGAATATCGATAGGTATCTCATTGGATCAGTTTTTGTCAATCGTTAATTTGTTCACTGTCCATTTTTTTAAATACAAAATTGATTTGATCACATAACTATCGATATTCGATTAACATAAGTTTTTATAAATATATAATGAGTTTTATACATTAAACAATTCAAATTATCAAAATAGAACCTCTGATAAACCCCCACGGCCTAAACAGGACCGTCCAGGCAAGCTACATCCGCTGGTAAAATAGCCAAACATTGATCAGACAGACGGTGATGGAATGTAGGACCCCCGTGACTTATGAGAGAGATGGAAATATTCACATGGGCTTGCATATATATATATATATAGTTTTCTAAAGAAAATTATGGATGGCTCTTCATTGGCTAACTTACACTAATGGTCTTATAATTTAAATTTTGTATCATTTTAATTCTTAATTTTTTAATTAAATAATGTTAAAAATTCTAAAAATCTATCAAAATTTTTATTAAAGGTTTCACATGTGGGTCCCATATCCATATAAGATATTTGGTAGAAATTTTGTTAAAACTTTTAGGATGTCTAGCATTTTTGTTTTTAATTATGACACATTTGATCTTGAATTTTGAATCTTGTTTCAAATAAGAACAATCGAAGATATCATCACTCTATTTCAATAGCAAAATCATCAATTTCATAAAATATAAACTAATTTGATAAAAATAAATGTCAAAAAAATATTTTTGAATTTTAAAAAATTATTTTTACCTACCAAAGATAAAAGAGGTATTTTTTTTAAGGTCTCTGATATTATAATTTTATAGTATAAAGAACATCAAATATTTTCATGATGTCTAAGGTCCCTCAACATCAATCCAGAGAAATTTCAGTCTCAGAGAAAATTGGTCCAGAGAAAATTCACGTCACAGAGAAAATTGGTCTAGAGAAATTCTAACCAAAGAAAATTTAGTTCAAAAACCAGAGAATTTCTCTGGTTTTAACCCAGAAAAAATTCAGTTCAAAAACCAGGGAATTTCTCTGGTTTCAACTTCAAATTAAACAAAATACTTAATTGATCCCAATTACTTAACTGAAACAAAATACTCATAACCTACCAGTTTTCAATATATAACAAATGGCATATTCATTCGATATATAAGATCATTCAATGCAGTTTATAGGTTAACAAAGAAAAATAATAATAAAAAAGAAATGACTGGCAGATTCATATTAAATCTCCTAATCATTAGTTACCACTTCCATAATTACAAAGTAGCAAGTTTCTTAAAGGCCCATATCAGATATTGTTCCCTAAATTCTGAAGCCATGCTTTTATGTTGACAGCCCCAAGTTTTCACCTTGCAACAAGCAATGGGCTTCAGGTCCATCCAAAGCTCCATAGAATATTAATCACTGCAAAATTCATTATTAGTAGCATTTTGTCTAATCATATTTGAAAAAACTCCTTGATTCCTTCCAAAGATTGGACACTTGAGAAAGTTGAAAATTCAATACACAACTCAGTCAACACTTAAATGATCACTTTTCTTCTTTTTGGGCGAAAAAAATGATTTTTTTTTTTTTTTGTTGCAGGCATTGATTAACTGCATGGATAAACAGACACATTTGGCTGCTTTTGTACCACCAACAGATCATGCATAAGCCTAGAATAAAAGCACACACAAGAACATTTTTGAAGCGAAGGCCAACTGATGTACTAAGACAACAAGTACTAAATAGGCACGGTATCGACTTCCCTCTATGTATCATGCGCACGCGCGCACACAGTTTTGCATAGTTAGGAGATGACGAGAATGTCCACCAAGTCCCAAGTCAGAGGAACTGCTTTGTCTATTAGGAACTTTATCACCCACATAATCATTGCAAATTTGCAAGGTGAGAAGCTACTAAACAGAGAAATTTGAATTTTCTCTGGGTTGAACTCAGAAAAATTTTGAATTTTCTCTAGAACTATAAAACTCTGATTTGATCAATTTATCTTTGGTTCTACTGCTGCTGATTCAATCACAATTTCCTGCACAAACAAATTAATAGTTCTTCAATCACAATTCAATCACAAATTCATGGACTCTAGAGAAATTTCAAATTTCTCTGCCGTGGGTTTGATCCTCCACCGTTGTTGCTACTGTTGTAAGTGGCTGTACTGATGTTTCAAATTTCCATTTGCTCTTGCCATTTCACACCAATCAATAGAGAAATTCTGCTCTGAATTTATCTCCAGAGAAATTTTGAATTTCTCTGGAACTGATATTGATGAACAAAAGACAAGGAAAAAAAAGAGATGAGAGAGGCTAGCTATGAAAAAAGTAATTGTTTTGTTTCAGGTTCTGGTGATGGAGTATAATGACTATGTTGTTGCTTATGTGGCCGTGACAAATCAACAACCTCACTGCCAAACTCCAATGGTCTGAGATTGGGTTCTGGTGAAGGTGTTTCGAACGGGAACGACCTTGACATTGTCTGCCTTGACATCGGGCCACAGAGGCTGAGGAAGACGACGGAGGACAAGGCGGTCCGTGGCGGAACCAAGCATGGTCGATCCGGTTGCGAGGCCGTAGACACGGCCCGTTCCAAGCCCTAGCCTCCGGTGCCAGACTGTGACAACAGCGACTGTTCCGACGCAATCGATCACGTTCGACTTTCTCTCTACTCAAATCAAGCTTACTCACCGCCTCTGTATGTATGTATGTACATGTCTGTGTGTGCGCGTGAGAGTAGACAAAAGGAAGGGGGTTGAATTTCTCTGTGATAGATGGGAGGGACTTTAGACATCAAAAAATAATTTTGTGTATCTCTTCCATTACGAAAAGTGGGAGAGGGACCCTAGACCAATTTTCCCAAGTTAAAATCATATAAAATTAATAAATCTTTTACACATTTATTTCTTTATTTTTTTACTAAATTAATTTTTATTATGTGTTTAGATGATGATCATGTAATTGGTAGTTGTAAGATTTTAATGTGTGATCGTTTGATTTAATAGATTGATTTAATAATAATATTAAAGTTGTCGCTATATTTGACTTTTAAAAAAATAAAAATTAATTTGATGAAAATAAAAATGATCAATCATTACATAATCATTATTAAACATATAATAAAAGTTAATTTAATAAAAAAAATAAATTTATAAAAAACTTATTAATTTTATTTTTGATGGACCAGCTTTAATTTGGGTGTTAAAGTCCAATTTGACCTATTGATTCGTTGGCTCAGCTTGAGAGCCGCTATAACATATGAAAAAAAATTGGGTGAATTATACCTATGATCCCTATAGTTTGGGATTTGTGTCATTTTTATTCTTGATTTTTAAATTATGACATATTTAACCTTAAATTTTAAATCTTATTTAAAATAAGTACAACTGAAGATATTATTGGATTTTTCAAGGGTAAATTTGAAAAAATATAAATTAATTTGACAAAAATAAATATCAAAAAATTATTTTTAAATTTTTAAAAATTATTTCTACCTACTAAAAATAAAATTATATAAAATTAATAAATCTTTTAGAATTTTTTTTTTTACCAAATTAATTTTTATTATGTATTTGGACGATGATCATGTAAAATTAATTTTTAAAAATTAATCATGTAATTTTTATCAATTTTACATAATTTTATTTTTGGTTGATAAAAATAATTTTTAAAAAAAATTTCGACATTTATTTTTGTCAAATTAGTTTATATTTTATTAAATTGACGATTTTGCCCTTGAAATTAAGGGAGTGTTTGTTTCAGCTTTTCAGAGTCAACTTATGACTTTTAGCTTTGAAAAAGTTATTTTGGACTGTTTGGTTAAACTTATTTCAAACAGCTTCTGATTCTAACAGTTTATTTTAACTCAAAAAAGCTGATTCTAAGAAGCTGCTCACCCCTTAAAAAAAAATAAATTTATAAAAAAATTATTAATTTTATTTTTGATGGACCAGCTTTAATTTGGGTGTTAAAGTCCAATTTGACCTATTGACTCGTTGGCTCAGCTTGAGAGCCGCTATAACATATGAAAAAAAATAAGAAAACAAAATGAAAAAGAGCGAAAAATGTCAAAAGTAATCCCGAATCTTGATCCGTTAGTCT